AATGACGTTTCAGATGTGCTTACAGCTTCCATCATCAGGGCGATGATCACTGATAGTGACAACCGAACACTTAATTAAGTTCCTCATCAAATCTAAAACTTCTTGACGATGGCGAAGAGTCAATTGAATAAAAATTTACTTGGATATTATCCATCGTCTAGTAAATATAAAACGTAAAACGACGTTTCGGAGATGGGACTCTATCTCCGTCTTCAGGTTCCTACACAGTTGGGCCCACTAGATAGAGCTAATCCCTATCTTCGGACTGTGCATGAACCTGAAGACGGAGATAAAGTCCCATCTCCGAAATGTCGTTTTACGTTTTATATTTACTAGACGATGGATAATATCCAAGGAAATTTTTATTCAATTAAGTTCCTCATGTTCTAAGGATACGCGGAGTGGATGGGACGGTAAAGGTGAACGGCCGGGACAGAAGTAAGGACCCCAGGGAGAATTTCTCGCGACTGTCTTGCTACATCATGCAGGACGATGCCCTGCGACCGGCACTCACCGTTTTGGAGGCCATGACCTTGGTGGCACACCTGAGACTCGGCTACCTCACATCACACAACCAGAAAAAGAAACAGGTAGGAAGGAAGGAAGGAGTGAGAGCGTACACTAACTGTCCGTCGGTCGAAGGTTTCGACTGCACAGCGAGCGGACTTCGTCAGTCAGTACACGCGACGTATTGGGAGGGCAGTTTCCCGTTACCCGCAAGTGAAGTCATCAAGCACGCCATTAGTTCATGTAATGACTGACATCTGAGGTTCTAGCGAGCACGAAGTCTTAAGGTGGCGACTGACTTGTAACATTTACTCGTAATGTAACATTCGCGGCGAGCATGTTACATTACACCACAACTGGTGTGGCGTATCGAATGCTCGTTTTGAACGCTCGGCTCGACTGTGCTCGTGTGTGCTCCATTCGTTTCATTCAATATATCGGACGTGGAGGTTGTGTTATCTTTGTTCCATTTAATACGCTACTCTTATCTAAAGAACTCGTGAATGCTCGTTACGACGCCGCTCGACTGACTGACTGACTTGTAACGTAACACGCAAAGGGATTCGCGAAAAAAACCGACAACACGATGGAGCGCCCGCGAGCGTGAGCGGCTCGCATCGAGCGGCTCCGTTCGCTGTCTTCACTTGTGTAATGCTCGATTTGTAACACGTTACATTACAGGCAAATGTTACAAGTCAGTCGCCACCTTTATCTGCAGTCTGGCAGAAGTTTGCTGACGTTTCATCGTCAGGGCCTTGGTGATGGAGGCAGCAGTGATATATGAAACGTCGACAAACTTCTACAAGGCGGCGAAGCCCAGAGGAGAGCCTCAGTGAAAACTTCAAATCCTAATTAGATTCTTGTAAGCTCAAAAAATTCTGACTTGCTTATTCCTCCCACAATTTATGAATGAGGTCACGGGTCACGTGCCCTTCGAAGTGACAAATGTGTTTACAAAAAAAAAAAATATATAGCGAATTCGGTTTCTCACAACTTTACCCCTTCAGAAACAGCAACACTCACGACAAAAAGGTCTTTAGGCAGCTCGTCTTGAAAAACAGTAAACACGCAGCAGTTACTAAATTAGAACATTTCACGGCCTGTCCTTCATACCTCATCGCATCCCCTGGTTTAACGCGTGTGAATTTGCTTTGAAAGTACAATGTAAACAGGTTTCCTATGAAATTGGTAAATAAGTAACGTAGTTTGAAAAGCATGTACCATGAAAATAACCTTGAACAAACTTACAACAGGAAGTCAGTTAAAACATCTATGCTAATTAGACTAACCGGCAATGGAGTGTTGTAAGTGTAGTTATTTGGTAAAAGACAGCTAATATGAAGAAACTCATGTTGATTTTCTGGGTTTGGAAGGAACATATTTCCTCCACCTTCAGTACTCCGAGACGTTGGTACCTACTTCGTATACATGGCGTCACAACCCACAACATTCTCGCCGCCCTGAGAACCTCAAATCTCACACGATTCAAACTGTGCCCTGCGTAAGAACCCTTTGTGATTATTATTATTATTTAGTGTTCTGTCTGACGACAGGTCCATATGAACAGGATCCTTCCATCCTTTTCTCGGACTGGGACCTGTTCATATACGTTCTTGGCAGATGATCCAGAAGTGGTTTGCCATTGCCTTCTTCTGTGTGTGAATGGAGTAATTGTTGGGATGCCACGGACGAAAACTCCGTG